TTCCCAATTCCTTAGCTAACTTAAGTATGTTCAGGCCAAAGTTCTTTTTGTCAATGATATGATTCAAAGATTTGCATAATAGGAGGTAATATTAAGCCATATGATATAATTATGAATTAAATATAAATATATATATATACTGTATATATATATTACAAAGTATCTTTTATTTAATTTATATTATTTTCGATTTTTATTTAATTTGAGTATAGGTTTCAAGTCAAAAATAAATTTTAATAATAAAATAAACCATTTATTAAAAAAAAAATTTTTTTTATAATTAAAGACTTATATTTTCATTTTTTTATATTAAGATAGATAAATCTAGAAAATAAGTAATATCAATGATACAGTATTATATTGTTCTCTTGAAAATATATTAGATCCCAAGTTATTCTCTAACATATAATCAAAAATTTCAATTATTTTGAATCTTGAATTTTTTAATTGTATTAGATCTATAATAACTAATTATAAAAAAAATTTTTCTTTTAATTTAATGCTTTAAAAATTATTCACATTTTAATAAAAAGATTCAGTCAAATAGGTGATCGAACATTCAATAACTCGAGAATGTTGCAATCTAAATTATGATTTAATGTTTTGCAGTTCCCGATTTTACTCTAAAAATAAACTTCCCAACAAAAAAGCATCACGTGGTAAATAAATATGTAATGTACAGTAAATCAGCGATGCGACTTCTGATACAATGATTAGAATTTCATCACATAATAGAAAATAATATCAGATTTCTGGAGTGGATGGCATCTATCATAATCAATCATGTTAATAGTGTATGCATGTTGCATGATCTTAATAGGAAAATTTTTTGATGATATTTTTAGGAGTGGAATCATTCTAATGGGGGAATTCTTTGGATCAAATAAATCAAGTGAGGTAATGGACGATATGTTACCAAATGGACTCCTCTTTCCAAACCTAGCAGAATTTTTCCAGGATTTGCCTTCTGCCAAAGAACCCGGCTCCACTATGTCAATTGATCAAGCCGGTCCCGTCATAGTTCGACCCTTTCCTGACATACAAACCTACATAGGCGTTCACTTTCAGCATACGATTCCCACCACCCCTTACTACATAGTATTGCCTGATGGCGGAGACACCAATAGATTACTCTTCTCGGCAAATTTTGATCCGCCGAGTACAGGGAAGTGGGTTCGGTTCGATGAAAAATCACGAAAATTAATTGGAAAACCGTCCGAGAATGCAAATAGAAATACCACGGTTCTCTTGCACATCTCCGATCCCATCGGTGGTAGCACAGATACTACCATGCACATTCTTGTTTCAAATTGTGTGGGTGAAATGTGTGCTAATTACATTCCGCGAGAGATTTTGGTCGTTATTATCACGTTGTCGGTTGCCTTTGGAGTCTGCTTGCTGTCAATATTTGGATTTATCTTGTTTAAGAGAACAAGAGATAAGAGATCATCTGCACGCAAACCATTTGCGTCAACCAACGAGAATCTATCGACCATTAATAGAAGAGAATCTAATGGTGGAAGGTCTCACGAGAGCATGCAAATTTATAGAAACAGAGACTTTCCAATTCCATCGATCGAATCAGATGTACAACAAAGGAATGGTCAAGTTGTAATGTATAATTTCGAAAATATCGCAATATTGAATGGCGATGGATTGTTGTATCCGGAAATTTCGAATGTTGAAACTCGAACACCTCAGAAGGTTGAAAGAGACACCCCCTCATCCAACTTCGCCTCAATCAATAGCAAACGGCATGTCGTTTGCAAGGAAGATTCCGACTCTTCTTTGTATTCTCATTCATCTGCCACTGCCTCATGTGACAATGTTTCACAAACCATGACACTTTCAGGCATAAAGCAGATTTCGACTCCCGAGGATTGTACGCCCGTCATTCCTACCATGCTTTACGCGAAACCCGAAAATTTTTTTTCTCATCAAGTCAAATACCCTCTCCCGTCGCTGAATTATTATCGACGCCAAGAGTTCACGGCGGTCACTGATCCTGATGATGGTCCACTTCCTAAATGGTTGCATTTTCACAAGATACAAATGAAATTTTCGGGAGTGCCTTCCCAACTCGACATTGGACAGACCAAGATTAAAGTTTTAAAAATTGACAGAGATTTAAGTTCGCAAGATGATAATATTAATTATTTGGATTGTAATTTCAAGGTGGTGGAGAAAATTTTGTTAATCGTTGAGGGTAATGACGATGCTTGAAAATTCGGAAGTTCCGGCGGATTTAGCATCTGTTAATCAGAACCACATAGGCAACTGACATGAGTTCTCGTTTATTACCTAAAAATATTGACCAAATATTTTCCTCCTGCATCCTTCCGACTGTTTAGGTACGTATTGTACGTCAACGCATTTGTGTTAATTATATCGCCGGTAACTAATCGCCTTCTTTCTCTCTCTTCCTATTCTGCAAATGGTAATTTCAAAGGGTCACTTTTTTATTGATGTTTATCGTCTCTGTTTGCGATACATGTGGCGAATTACTATTAATCGTACTCATTAATTCAAAAATACATGAATCTATGGTAAATTCACATTTTCATATGCGCGTTGAAGTGAACTTTGTGTACACAATACTGTATCGATCGATATTATCTAATAAATGATTTAAAGCTTCGGCTAAATTTAAGGTAACAGGTGATGACCACACAGATCGCACTTATGTATGCACTTATTTTATTACACGATTCAGATAACTTGCACACAAGTTTCTTAACTTGTTTATTAAGTTTCACGGTGTTATAATTGTGCCATTTAGCAACGTATGTCGGGCGACCTTAAATGTCACCTGGCATACACATTTCAATATATTACTGGTCTCACACAGAATGTCAATTATGACTTTTTTGTAAATTCCGCCAAGCACCTGACCAACTTTAACCGATTTTTTATAAATTCCTGTGCAGAAAATCATTGTAAATCATCCCTGGACGTTTATCCACACATTATTTCTCCGCGTTTATCAAGCACGTACGTACATAACTATTTTTTTTTTTTTTTTTATACACCTTATCAGATGGATAGATAGATAGATATATATATCTGTCGAATTTCTTGTTTTATGTTCATGTTATCCGGAGTGTCAATTGGGCTTATTATGCATCATTAGGCAACATAAGAGGACATCTCCAAAAATATTCGCGCAAGAGGCGGTCTTTGATGTTTTCCATTTACAAAGAAAGAAAACCAATCGCATTCAGTGATTCTATGAACAATGGACAATAATTCTGCGCCTTTGAATGAGAAAAACGCGGAAAACATTAATAACAACGAAATAACCGTTTATGACAGCAACAAGTATACCTCCGACGGAAACATCAAAGTTCCCGACATTTCAAACGAACCTTCTCAACCCTCTTCCAACATGACAAGCACGCCTTCAGACATAACAGCCAAATCACCGTCAGCCGACTGTGACGCTGCCATTACGTCACACACGATCTCTAGCGCATCCGCCACAACTTCTTCTGCCTTCGTTGCTAATGTTAACTCGGTCCCTAATTTGATGTCACGTTATCAGATAGGCAGAGATGAACTTTTGGAGAATATGGTTGTCGAGAGGTACGGTTTCATATGATTTTTTTTCCCAATTTCGGGAGTTTTCTTTAATAGGCGAATATATTTGAGCATCGTGATGCACAGTCGATGTTTGACCTTGCAAACATGCTGTCTCAAGACAAAATCATTTTAAGTACCATTGTTCTACTGAATGAACATATGTGGAATTCATTCACCTATTGCATGGTGATCGTCAATCGTATTAGTACGAGCGGCCATCAATAGAAACTGATTCCAATTGACCACATTACCTGATTCTCGTTTCTTACCCGTAAAATTACCCAGGCATCTCTTTCTCATAGAAGCATCTTGAGACGAGTGAAATTTTTTTTAAAAAGATTTTCTATGCGTTCACACGTTTCTATAAAAGTCAATTCAAATTTTTTTCAAGTGGTCGATCGTCAATAAAGTTCGGTCTCCATTGATTTAATGTTTTCCTTACGTGTGTGACACGAGCATATAATTTAAGCTTGAAATAGGCATCCAAAAATTTTTTGGGTGACTGTTGGTTGCTATGAGATTGGTTATTAGGGCACGCGAATTTTTAATTCTCGTCTTGGTTTATGTCTAATTCTATTTATTTTGCCGCGGAATTAATAACAAAACAGAACGCACCTGACTTCCACAGGGATTGGTAATCGTTCGCGAGAAAACCGTCTATCCGCCCCTGCTCCGTATCGACCGACCGAATATAGTGTCCCCGCTAAACCTCGTCCGAACTCGCACATCATACTTCCGACTTCAATGCAACGATATTGCCCCACGACTCCTAATTCCAACGGTGATTTCACCGCATTGCCCAGAATACTAAATTGGCCAAATCAAACAAATCAAGGTTTCGGTAAAAAATCGTCGGAGCAATTGGGTGGTGGTGGTATAACCGACAATATGGTGGACGACGGAGAAATAATATTCGACACTTATTCGTTAAACCGAGTTGACGATAAGCAGTTGTTTGGGAAATATACTTCTCAAGCGCATTTAAAGTTGTACATGTCGCAAGGAAACTTTTCGGCGAATAGTACCATCCACCAAAATATTCCATCATCGACTTCGGAGGTACCTTCACTTATTTCAACCAATTACGGTACGGAAATTTTTGATCAAATAAGGTCGGACGATGATCCTAAACTTGTGGTTTGGTCAATACCCAGAGCTCAAGAAAAGGTGCGCGGGCATACGATCCCCACATCGATTGTAGCATCTCAAAAAAAATGGAGTTTTTACGGGGCGATGGGAAGGGCTAGCAAATCGTTTGGTAGGGACAAGAGGGAACAAAAGAAGAAACGAAAGAATGAACTTAAAAATCATCAACTCGTCGTGGCGTCTTCGAACACGGGGAGGGTCATCATGGCGGCTACCATTGAAAAACTGATCGAAAAGTTAACGGGTGAAATAGGTACAGTTTTTTATCTTTCCTTTCCTTGTCCTCACTTTCGTTCTCTGTTTTTCTTACAACATCGGAGTTCTCTTACCGAATCAAAAAAAAAAAAAAAAATCAAAAAAAAAAAAAAAAAAATCTTTCGGCAGATTACACCTTCTTGACAGACTTTTTCCTTACATATAGGAGTTTTATATCACCCGTGCAGCTATGCAATCTGCTAATATTGAGGTTTAATTGGGCCCTTGAAAATGATGAAGAGGATAGAAGGATTGCGAGGGTCAGGTGCGCCATATTAAAATAACGCCGAGTATTTGTGAATCAGGGCAAAACAGTTAATTCTTCAACTCGGTGCAATGTTTAATAGGACCTTTGTGGCAATACGTCACTGGCTTCTCAATTACTTCTATTTCGATTTTGTTCCGTGTCGTGAATTAAGATCGACACTCACAAATTATCTTAATGATCTCTCCGTGCGTCAATCCATAAAGGATTCTCCAAGGGATCAAAGGATAGTGCAGGGGTTAAAGAGAGTGGTGAAGAGATTGAAAAAAATTTACTATCAAAAAATTTTTATCACTGGTTTTGGAAAATACGAAGGGAGTTCATTGGTAGATGACGTTGAAAATAGAAAATACTTTGAGGACATTGATGATATGGTGGTGGTAATGCCTCAGGGGAGGTCTAACTTGGTACAGCTACCAGGACGACCTTTTTACGGCGCAGTAGACAACGGGGGTGGTGTTTTGGGAACCTTGGTGACCTCACAAAAGGAATTCCGGAACAATTTTTCCGTGATGTTGGGAGATAGTAGTACCTCCAAAAAACATTCTGCATTGAAAAATAGAACTTTAAAAAAATCTCCGTCTTATTCTTCTTTAGAATCGGTGATTACCCCTGGAACAACTGATTCGGAGGAAGAATTTGAATATACTGCAAAAAAACTTGACTTGAATTCAAATATTTCGCAAAGGGAATACGGGCAAAAAAATAGTTTCGATAGAATCGCTCAAAATATAGAATTGCCTTCCTTTGATCATGCGTACGATCGTCAAGATTCTGACATTTATCATAATAAATGGACAAAATCGTTACCCACCATTTCCAGTGGTGATGACGACATAACGAACGAAGAAGAAGAAGGTTCTGGTATTGGCAATGGAGAGAGAACGGTATTATCTAAGCAAGAACGTGTGATAGTATTAATTGATCCCATGGAACAATCGGAAAAAAGAAGAGACCTCGAAAAGAGAAGGATGAAAATGAAAAGTAGGTCAATGGGTGACCTGCCTTCAAAAAGAAAGTTACTGGATTCTCCGATTGATATTACTAGAGATAACGATGGAACCCTGGTCAATAAGGGACCACCTCCACCGCCGCTTCCGCCACGCCGCCGTCACAGGAGGCACACCCTGGATGTTTCATCGAAACCACTTTCGTCCCCCTCTTTCTTCAAGAGCATGTTCGTTAAGGGTAGTTCACCTATAAAAAAACTAAAGAGCATAGTCTCTCAAGAAAAATCTGATGGCAATGTGCGAAAAAAGAGAAGTTTGTCTTTCTCGGAAGCAATTTGCGGGGTTATTGAGAATGACGACGAGGATGATGTTAGTGAAGATGAATTTGATCTTTTTGAAATTGATCATTCGGGCGGAGTTGTAAGGGATTCTTCTCCTTTATACACTGTTACTACGCCAGATGGATCCGAAAATCAACAGCAAACTCGTAAACCTAATGAACCGGAGGAGTCGGCCTCCAGACCATGGCATCGAAAGATGTCGGGTACTGTGGGTAGATTTGCAAAAGGACTATTCTCGGGGGAGAGAAACAAGGGTCCGATAGCATCTTTCACAGGAGTTATATCAGGTTGCGGGGTTGGCGGAACACAAGCTGACAGCAACGCTGGCCGAACTGGTGGTAAATTTGGTTTCCTCTGCGCTACCCCCACCGAACATGTCAACGCTGAAGAAGAAAGAGACTCTAATTTCTCTTGGAGCAGGAATTTGGACCCGCGTGTAATTGATGAAAACGATCAATTTCATGTAGATGGATTTTCATACATCGATGAATCCGTTGAAGAAGAATATTATGACATACATCCAGAAAATTCCGAGATGGAACAGCAATTCGAACGATGGGATAACGAGATTGCCAATAAAAATGCAGGTTATGACGAAGGCTCAAACTCACCACATTTGCCCATGTCCCTCCCGGAGATTCATCGTGACGGTCAAATTAGACAACCATTCGAAGAGAACTTATACCA